CTGCTGTGAAATGCAACAGGTGCATCTGTGATTGGCCCATGTTGGATGTTTGTAATTAATGGCCAATCACAGCCAGCTGGCTCAGACACAGAGTCCAACAACAAACCTCTGTTATCATTCTTTCCTGTTCTATTCTTAGCTAGCCTTCTGATTAAATCCTTTCTTCTGCTCTTTTAGCATAGTTTTAATATATAATTTACTTTTAATATAATATATATAACAAAATAATAAATTAAGCCTTCTGAAACATGGAGTCAGATCCTCATCTCTTCCCTCAGCCTGAGACCCATGTGAACATGGTCACACAGGAGGGCTGGAAAACCAAGTGCAAGCCTGGAAATGAGAGGAAAGGGCTGCAAAGAATCAGAGATAAAGGCAGAGAGAATGAGAAAGGGGCAGAAGAATTATCTCCATCCCTGCAAGGAGTTCCAGGGAGTTTCTCAGCTGGGAAGAGAAAGAAATTCCAAGATGATGAGGTGAGGGAAGGAAGCCCAGGCACGTGTGATGAGGAGCAGGGAGGATGCAGAGAAGCTGCAGCAGAGACCCTCCTGTTCCTCCAGCATTTCCCATCTGCTCCTCATCCCCTGAGATCAGCACGTGAGGCACAGGGCTCCTCTGCACTCTAGAAACAGAAAAAGGAGAAAGGAATAGCCCCAGCCTCCAGGGCACTGACATAAGAAATGTGGAGAGGAGCTGTTTGCAGGGCATGTAGTGACAGGACAGGGGAGAATGGCTTCAGAAAAAGGGAGTGGGTTTAAATGGGATATCAGGAGGAAATTCTTGGCTGTGAGGGTGATGAGCACTGCCACAGGCTGCCCAGAGAAGCTGTGGGGGCCCCTGAACCCCTGCAAGGTCCAAGGTTGGGCTGGATGGGGCTTGGAGCAAGCTGGGATAGTGGCTGTAGCTCCATCAGAGTGTTTGTGAGGGCTGAAGTTACGGGGATGATCTCCTGATCCATCCTGGCAGTTCCCATGTGCGCACCAACCCTTCCCTGTGCTGTCAACAGGGACTTGAAACCCATTCACACCTAAAGCACAGAGATGTCCATACCTCTGGGAAATGATGGGACCTCTGTATGCTCTGTCTCTGGGTGTCAGTGACAAATCTCGTCTCCCTCCTTCAATCACTGTCTGTATAAAATATGTATTCCTAGATAATGGTGAAAAGCTGTTGATGCTGCTCCTCAGAGCATTGCACCTCTGATTGGGTGGGCAATGCTGCTTGTCACGTCTCAGTGCCCTCAGGAACAGCAAGGCAGGGCTTGTTTCAGCCACAGACCACAAGGCTGAGCTGGGTTCCATCTCCCTTGGAGGCCCAGGGAGTTCAGTTCCAGAGGAAAACCTCCATGTGCAAACCAAGGACCCCCAGGTTCACTGGGGAAAACTCTCGCATGCAGAAGTTTGTCACAGACATCTTTTTATGAAAAATCCTTTCCTTGGGATTTTTCCTCCTGAGAAGCTGAGAGGCCTCACGAACGAAATGTAAACAATGATTATCTGCTGCTGTGCAATGCAACAGGTGAATCTGTGATTGGTCTCATATGGTTGTATCTAATTAATGGCCAATCACAGTCAGCTGGCTCAGACAGAGAGTCCAAGACAGAAGCTTTTGTTATGATTCCTTCTTATTCTATTCATAGCTAGCCTTCTGATTAAATCCTTTCTTCTATTCTTTTAGTATAGTTTTAATATAATATATATCATATAATATATATCATAAAATAATAAATCAGCCTTCTGAAACATGGAGTCAGATCCTTATCTCTTCCCTCATCCAAAAACCCCTGTGAACACCATCACAGAAGAGGCCCAAGGCAGTGGTGGAGTCACCATCTCCAGAAGTGTACAAAACACAAGCAGAAGTGGCACTTCATGATATGGTTCAGTGAGCACAGGAGTATTTGGTCAAAGGTTGGACTTGATCTTCTTAGAGGCCTTTTCTAACTTTAATGATTTTATGATTCTGTGAAAACAGCTTTTAATAATTACACAGGTAATAACAGAACCACTGTTATCTCTGGGGCACAGACAGGGCTGAGCTGAGGAAAAAAAAGAAACACAAAACAAGGAGATACCTCCTCCTTCCCCAGGGATAGCACAAGCCCTGGTGCCTGTCTATCTTTAAAAAGGTCAGGTTAAGTCATCACCCCCTGTCCCTCACCTCCACAGATCCCCCAATACCACTGTGGGCAGTGAAAACCTCTGATAAGTCAGATTTCACCCTTTTATAAAAGATCTGTACATGGCTCGTAGAGTGGGTGGGATATTTGCTCCCCAAGGGCAGCCTCTTCATAATCCTGCCTCCAGCAAAGGCAAACCCCTGCATCCACTCACTGAGGCTCTCCAAATGTTAATTTATTCCAGCATTAAAGTGTGTTCTGTCATGAGCACACAGGTAGTGACTGCATTGCTGGGATGGCAGTGCTGTCACTCACAGTGCCTGCCTCAGATAAAATCAGATTTGGGCAAAGGCTGATGTAGTGCTGAGTGTTCACAGGCTTACATCAGATTTTAAATAACAACAGCCACTGCCTTTTTCACCAGCCTCTCTCACAGAGACACCCATGGGCAGCAAAGATGGGTGGGAGGAGATGATTGATAAATCACAGGGGGTTCAGAGCTCACAGAATCACAGAATAACTGGGTTAGAAGAGACCTTCGAGATCATCAAGTCCAACCCATGCCCTAAACACCTTAACTAAACCATGGCACCAAGAGCTCTCTACAGGGCTTGGGGTCCCAAAAACACCAGCTTTGATTTGTGCTTTGGAACAGCCAAGCCCAAAATGAACCTGCTCATGCTGTCATGGTCAGGGAAGTGCAGGTAGTCAATGGACCAGCAAGAAGTTGTTTTTGGAAGTCTCTGGAGGAAAAATGAATTGTTTCTCTTGTTCCAGATTTCATGTTTTAAGGATGTGAGGGAATGAAGGTTGCTGTCCCACTGCCCTTTCCCCCAGAGGCTTGAGACAGCCCCTGGGAGTGTCTGTAAATCTGAAGGGCTGTGCAAAGGCAGCAGTGGTGTCTGAGTCTTGGGTTTCTGTGGCTGAAATGACCCCCAAGGTATTCAAAGTTTCTTTTCCCAGCCCCATGACTGAAGAAGTCATCGAGATTCCTCTGCTCTGCTTTTCAAGATTATTTTCTCTTATCTATGACATTCTTTCTCTGACCTGCTGAGATCTGTCCAGCAGGTTGGGTTGTGGCACAGTCCCTGCCCTTGGGGTGGTGTTGGCTTTTTATACTAAGAACTACGTGTGCTTTATTTGCAATAATTTTCCAGTACCTATCACCTGTGTTAGACAGTCTGTCTCTACCCAAAACCAATCCAGAAGTGTCACCGTCACAGCAGAAGATGGAGGACAAGAAGGAGAGGAAGAAAGAAGAAGACAAAGAAGAAGAAAAGACTGGACATGCCCAGATTCCTCCATCTTGCCTCTTGAACCCCCATTCTAAATCCTCAAAATTGTACATTTTCACCCTGTGACAAATTCACTACCATTCTACCCAAACTCTTCTGGCTTGTAAATCCTCACACAAAGTTGGTAATTGTTTCCATGGGCTAAAATCAAAGGCACAGGTGTTTTTTGACTCTGTACCAAGGTCTGTAATCACCCATGGCATCCAGAGGAATGTCCTGGGTCCCAACATCTGAGGTGACCTCAGGTGGGGCCGCACAAAGAGGACACTGGGCACACTTGAAAACCCTGGGTTGGTTATTGGCGTATTCAATGTTCTTCTCCAGGGTTTTGGTCCTCAAGGAGCCCCACTCTGTGCAGAAGGAAAAAGAAAGTGCCCAGACAGCAAAAAGATGAGGAAAAGGAATGGTGTCATGCTCAAAGCCTTACAGGAGTTCAGCATCACCTGCCTCCAGCTTCTCACCCATCCCACAAGTGATTGGAACTGTTCTCCCTTCAGGACTGGAAGGGAAATCCCATCCTTGCCCAGCATGGAGCAGATGAGAAGGAATCCCAGCTGTCATCCTGTCCTTTCTCCTGAGTTACGGTACCTCTCTTTAATCAGGAGGAATTTACACAGCTGCTCCCCTCCCCACCCCACACCAAATTTCAGGTATAAATATGCACAGTAGAGGGAAATGGTTGGAAGGAGGAAGAAACGCAGGAGGAAGAAATGGCACTTGCAGATTAAAAATATAACCAGTACTACTTGTATGATAAATCATTGAACATGTATGGGTGAACATGTCCCACTCAAACTGCAAGCCTCCACTGCAGGGCAAGTGCCATCAACCACCACAATCCCTCATTGCTCCCATTCTTTTTGTGGATTTAAAGCTCCTCACGAGCATCTGTGAATCAGCCAGGTATGATAGCTCAAGTAATCCTGCACACCCACAGGAATAAGTATAAACAGTGAGTTCTTCATGTAAAAGTAGCTCCTCCTCCCACCATCATCCCAAGCAGCAAACTCCCCAAGGCCATGAATTCCAGTGAAATCAGCCAGGATTCCATGCTGAATACCCAGATTCCTTCCCTGGGATCTGGCTGGCAGGCAGCACTTTCAATCACAGTACTGACAACACAACAGGAACACCACACTAAACTTGGCCTGAACACCACACTAAACTTGGCCTGCACCCTGGCAGGCAGCATCCTACACTCCTGCCCAGCGTCCCAAAGAGGCTCCAGCCTCTCCAAAAATTCCAGTTAGAGCCAATTATTCAGGGCTACACCTTCCTGTGTCTGTGGCAGGTGCAGTCATAGTTTGGGTGGAGGTGGAAAACAATACAGCAGCAGCAACTCCTTGTCCAGCAGTCAGCAGGGCAAAACAACTCCAGGGGTGGTTCCTGCCCCTTGAGCTCTGTACCCCTGGTCCCTCAATATTGCAAAAGTATGTAAATGCCATGGGTTTATGGCATAAAAACCCCGAGGTCGACAACAAAGCACATCCTTGTGGGAAACGGCGGAATTCATGAGCAGCCTGATATCCACAGCAGGATGGAGCGGAAAGGTTTATAAAGCAGCATAAGCTGCTGGAGTTCCTTACCTGCTTCTCAGACATGATGTAGAGGTGCTCGTGGTCCATGGAGAAGGCCATGTCCCGGAGGATGGGGCCAGTGTCCACCACCTGCACGATCTCGTACTCCAGCGTGTTCTTGGTGGTGCCATCCACACGGATCTGTGCAGCAATAACAAGAGCAGAGGGAGATCATGAGGATTTTCCCCTCCTTCCACTGAAAACAAATAATTACAGAACCACAAAATGATTTGTGTTGAAATGAACCTTAAAGATCATCTCATTCCAAACCTCCTGCCATGGGCAGGGACAGCTTCCACCATCACAGGCTGCTCCAAGCCCTGTCCAACCCGGTCTTGGACACTGCCAGGGATCCAGGGGCAGCCACAGCTTCTCTGGGAAGCCTTCTCTCTCACTGCACTCACAGTAATATATATCTTCTTATAATATATACACAAAATTATATATTTATATACTTATTTTAAAATTTATAGCTATTTTTAATTTTTTATTTATATTCATAGGTTTATTAATATGTTTATATTTATAGTTATATGGTTTTTATCGTTATAGTCATATTTACATTAGTTATATTTTGTATATTTTATATATTTATTTTTATACATAATGATATATTATATATGCACATTATTTATATTATATGCATATATTAGATGTTACATAAATATATACATATGTGTAGATATATAATATATAGTGTGTATATATAATATATAATACAATATATAATATATAGAACATATTGTATATTTATTTACATATATACATATCTATCTGCGTACTTATAGATAGATAGATATAAATAAATATACAATATGTATTTTATATATATATATATATATACACAAAATAATCACTGGACAAATGTATTGTGCCCCAGGTCTTTCAGACAACCACAACAACTGTCAACAAAAAGTGAACTTTCCCCAGCCTCCCCACCAAAAGGACGGAGCAGATTTCATCACTTCTGCTGGTCCCATTAACACAAGAGCACTGTAAGAACAATGCAGATCCTGCTGGCTTTTATCTGGCACTGTCACTGTGCTCCTGTCACCGCCTGGACAAATCCACCATGCTCAAAATGATGGCAATGAGGGAAGGATCTGTGGTGGTGATGAGCAGGAGATAAAAAGCCACACAAATCTGCAGGAGTGACTCACTGGAATGCCACTCAGATAATATTATTGCTCTTATTGCTAATGTTCCACAGGGCAATTTATTATTGCAGGGTGTTCAGTGCAACATAGACTATTTCTCTTGCTGATTGCACATATCAGGTATTGAAATCAGTCCTGCACCAGTGTGGCACCTTATGATCCCAGACACCTCTCATAACAGGGTGTCACTTAGACATCAATAACAGGGATTATGAGGAGGAACCAGAAAAACAGTCCCAGTCTGTCCCTGACAGTGATCCAGTGATGCAGAAGAAAATGCAGAAAATTACAGACTTTTCTTTGCCTGCTTAAAAACAATTTCTAGAGTTTGGGCTCAAAAGCAGCTGGAGAAGGTTTGCAATCTCTTTCAATATAGAAGAAGTCATGATAAAACAGCTGTTCTCAGGAGTTCTCCTGAACTTTGTGAGGCTCTGTAGAGCAGCAAACCCCACAGTCATGTTTCAGAGTTTTATGTTTCCACATTCCTTATCTCCCTCTGTTTCCCATGTGCTGTCTTTCACTTCCTGAAAATATTCCATTCTGCAGTAACACAAACACCCCAGTACCTTTCCCTAAAAGAAACAAAGTTGTAGATCTTCATTACGCCCCACATTATAATCTCCATTCCTTCCTGACCAAAGATTCCCAGCCTGCAGTTGGATAGCTGAGCAAAAAGCACCCTTCCCATCCAAGGGAAATAACAAGCTGTGGAGAACTTATGGTGTCAAGACCTGTTCCCACTATTCCCTGGCACAGTCCTTGAGTTTGCTCCTTCTGTATCAAACTCTCAGCCAAGAAACTGAGCCTGAATCATCTTCTGTACTGGAAAGTCAAAGAGAAGGGAACAGAGGGAATGATAAAGGGTCTGGAAAGTCTGTATGAGGAAAGGACAGCAGTGACATACAGATTGTTATCTTTGTCCTTCCTTGATGTGCTCACCTGCTGTGGGACAACAAAGGAATATTATTTCCCCAAGAAAGATAAGGAAAATGAAGCAGAAAGGACTTAGAGGGGCTTTCTGTGCCAGCAAAGGGTGTGGAGGGTGCTCAGGGATGCTCAGATCCTGCATGTTATCCATCAGACTCCCCAGAAGTGGGAGCACGTGCTGGCCTTGGCTGCTGGGCTGCCCCAGTGGCAGGGGAGGATTTGCAGTTAATTTGTCATCTTGACGGAGCTGCTGGTGAGAGCAACACACGTCCAACAGCAGCACACACAGAGGTCAGGGCATGAAGTCCAGCACTGAGCATCCCTGATGCACCAAGGGGTCAGGGACTGAATCCCCGCACTGAACATCCTTTAAATACAAAGGACTTGAGGTCCAAAGCCCAGCACTGAACATTCTGGAAACACAAAGAATTCAGAGTCTGAAGCCCAGCACTGAACATCCTGGAAACACAAAGAATTTGGGGTCTGAATCCCAAAGAATTCAGGGTCCAAACACTGAACATCACTGAAACACAATGAATTCAGAGCCTAAACGCCAGCACTGAACATCCCCGACTCCCACAAGCTCTAGCTGCCTGGGAGCCAAGGCTTGCTCATTTCTGTGGTCTCTCACAGGGAAATTTAGCTCCTCTGAGTTCTTCTTTCTTGAAAGTGGACCCTGATGTAAATCACCCATGAGGTCAAGGGCAAAGATGCCAAGAGGCTTGGGCTGAGTCATCCCTCTTAGGCCAGGCAGGGGAAAGGAAGGAGGCAGGAGGACCTGCAGGCTGAGGAGCACAGGGTGCTCCCTGTTGGGGCTCTGCTCCAAGCACACCAAATACCCCCAGGGCAGGAGCCTTTCCTCTTTCCCTCTGAGCCTTTCCAGCTCCAAGTTCTCCCTCTCAGAGAGCTTTTTCTGCTGTCTCCACTCTGCCTCCCCTCAGTCCCTCGTGGCTTCTCATTCCTGTCACAGCATCCTCGCTCTCTGCTGATCCCTGTGCTGAACAAACCTCACATCTCCACTTTGACCTTGATTTTCCAGCACCACCGTGGTCAGATCTGCAGGCTGCCAGATATGTAAGCAGCCAATTATCACCCCAGGGCTCAGTCACTGTCCTCAGCCTTTGCCAGGCCCCATTAGAGGGGAAAGAACTGGGAGATGGAAGAGGCAGGCTGGAGAGGAGTTAACAAACCATGGAGACAGGAGGCACAGCCCCTAGGGATCTCCCCTGTGCATTTGGTGCAGGTAAAACATTGCAGAGGCTTCACACCAGGAATGCAGAGCTACTCGGAAGTGATTTAACAGCTATCGCTGGCCTAATAGCCTGAAAAGTCATTATTTGGCAGAGGGGGAGGGAGGGAAGGAGGGACAGAGCTCACATGTGCAAACACAAACACGTGTGCTCACACATCCACAGCTCTACATACAGAAAGCCCTCTCTCTATTAAATCTAGTGGCTAATAAAAAGGAAAATTCAGAAAAAGGCCAGAAAATCTGGCAGACACCAACCCATGCTGCACAGCCTGTGTGAGCCCTGTGCCAGCAGTGAGGTGATTATTGGAGACTGCAGCCACAAGTGTAGCCTCTAACTCCAACTATCCCTTTACCTGTCTTAAACACTCTCTTTCTTATGTTGGGCCCCAGGCACAGAGCCCTGAGGATCTCCACCTCTCCTGCACATTCTTCACAGTCCTGAGCATCAGACAACACAACTGGATTTTCTCTTAGAGATTTATTCCTGCCTCCAAGGCTCCTGCTAGAACCAGGGCACTTGGGCTGGTGAAAAAAAAAAAAAAAAATCAGAGAAGAGTCTGTGAAGGAAAAATGGGAAGATTCTCATCAAAGCCTGCAGTGATCACCACTAAAGTCAGGGAGCCAGAGACAATCTCTGCTTGGAAACACAACTTTCCAGCTGCAGGGAATTTGAAGAATGTACCACCCCTTCCTTCTGCTCCTGCTCTTCTCTGCTGGCATCAACCCCAAGCCCCACCTGGAGCTGGGGTGCTGGCATGGATGGAATTTTCTTCTGACTGAATGATGGGCATTTCCATATTCAAGATGTTTTTGGGGGGCTGTGGGATGAAAACCTGGCTAACAGTGCAGTTGGGATGATTTCTGGGAGCTGCCTGTGAACCATGAGCTCCTCCATAGGGCAAGAGGGAGGGGGACAAGTGACAGAGGGGGCTCCAGGACCATAAGGGAGTCTCAAAATGCCCAGTCCACCACAACCCACAGTCCACAAAAACCCTCATCATCCACCTGCTCCCACTCCCTGAATGTCTGTCCTGGACATGCCCACCCCTCAGAGCCCCAGATGCTCAGCTGTTGCAGACATCTTTTATGAAAAATCTTTTCCTTAGGATTTTTCCTCCTGTGAAGCTGAGAGAGGCCTCAGGGACAAAGTGTAAACAATGATTATCTGCTGCTGTGAAATGCAACAGGTGCATCTGTGATTGGCCCATGTTGGTTGTTTCTAATTAATGGCCAATCACAGTCAGCTGGCTCAGACTCTCTGTCCAAGACAGAAGTTTTTGTTATTCATGCTTTGTTATTCTATTCTTAGCCAGCCTTCTGATGAAATCCTTTCTTCTATCCTTTTAGTATAGTTTTAATATAATATATATCATAAAATAATAAATCAAGCCTTCTGAAATGTGGAGTCAACATTCTCGTCTCTTCCCTCAACCTGAGACCCCTGTGAGCACGGTCACACTCAGCTCAGCTCCCTTGTCCTCCTTTAACCCAGGACATGTGGGAGGGCCCAGCACTCTCAGGCTGCACATTAATCCTTCTCTTCCTGGAAGGCTTCACTCCCTGGGCTTGGCTGCTATTAAAACATCAGCGTGATGCTTCCCGAAGGTCAACTACCAAGGGACCCATTCTGGCAGCTGTTTGTTTGTTTGTCTGAACATTATCTAGGGCTGGCTGTTTATTTACATCCATTGAAGTATCAGACAATAAATATCCTCTCCCAGTAGCAAACAGATGCTTGCACTCGGATGTTCTGGCTTCAAAACGATCTCCTTAATGAGCAAACAACACCATTAATCTTTAAAGAC